ACGTACGTACGACGTACGTACGTACGTACGTACGTACGTACGTACGTACGTACGTACGTACGACGACGTACGTACGACGAGACGAGAGAGAGAGAGAGAGAGAGAGAGAGAGAGAGAGAGAGAGAGAGAGTACTTACTGGTGTTTCATACCCTTCAGGCAAACCACTGATAAAGATGTGAATGTAGGCTGCTTTGGCAGCCTCCTCAATCTCAGTCCAAGAAGCCCTAGGATCACCAAAAGCAATATTCTCCCTTATGGTCCCTGAAAAGAGTGCAGGCTCTTGACCCACCAAACCCATTTGTCCCCTTAACCACCTCACATTTATCTCTCTTACATCAACACCCCCAACCAAAACCTTCCCTTGATTTGCATCATAAAACCTTTGCACCAACCAAACTACAGTAGATTTTCCACTCCCACTTTCCCCTACTAAACCCACCATACTTCCACCCTTCACCTTCAAACTAAAATCTCTCAAAACCACAACATCAAGCCTGCAGGGATAAGCAAAAGAAACCTTTTTGAACTCGATGCTAAATTTTGAGTCACCAAGTCTCTTTCCCCTCCTTTCACTTGTGTCTATTAATGGCTTCCTTTTAATAGTGCTTAGAACAGAAGGTATCGCCACGGCTGCTGCTGAAGTATCGGGGGCCAAACCGGCTAGTTGTCCTACTGAAAATGAACTCAATACCAATATCAAGAATATCTTATACACCTCTCCGAAAGTAGCGCGCCCTTCCTTATTCAGAACAGCTCCATACCATAGTGTTAATGTGTATGCACCATACATTGCACCTTGAGAAATTCCCAATGCCAAACCCATAATATGAGATCTCCTCACTGATTTCTTCATGGGTTCTGATAAAGCTTTGTTAAATGAGGTGACGAGCGTGTCTTGGGCTGAGAAAGTGGCCACTGTTCTTATGTTTGAGATTGCACCTGAGGCTATGTTGCTTGCCTTTGCATAAGAATCATTGCTCAATTTTGGCCCCAAGTTTATGATCAAGCTGAAGTAACTTGCACCAAGTGTAAATGGAGTTAGTGCAGTTGCCAAAAGAGATAACCTCCAATTAATCATGAAAGAGATGGTTAAACCCACAGCTGCAGACCCTAATCCCATTAAAATCACAGAGAATCGATCTCCTAAAGCTGCTCGAAAGCTTGTGCAATCAGCTGAGAGTCGAGAGACAAGAACTCCACTTGAATTCTCCTCTGAATCAAACCAACCTGGTTCTTGCCTGAAAATCGACTGGAAAAACAAATCTCTAACTCTTCGACTGAGTTTCGTGCCTGCCCATCCACAAAAGCCTTGTTGCCCGGTCATAGTGATTATGCAACCAAAGCCTAGTCCAACTAGAGCTAGTGCGAGAAGCCCAACTTCTCTCTTTATTTTCGAGGAACTCCCAGAAAAATAGATCTGAAGAGCGTGGCCCAATATCAATGGAAAGATGGATAGTATTGCACCTGCATGAATTCCCAACAGAAGCCCTAGAAATAGCATGGGAAGCTCTGGTTTTTGCAGCTCCCAAACCTCTGATAGGGCAAAACCTCCATTTGGCTTCTCATTATCTGCATTCATTATCACACTCTCTTTGTAAACTGATTTGGATGCATGAAAATATGTGGATTCTTGAATGGGTTCCTGATAATTCATCAGATTTGGAGCTGCATCCTTTGTTTTGTTTGGGGAATTGTTTTTAGAGAGATTATCAGAAGCCATGTTATTGAGATTGAAATATACCCCTTTTTTGGCCATGAGTCTATTGTGATCCCCTGTTTCTATGATGGAGCCCTGATCCATCACTATGATAGTATGAGCATTTTTTATTGTTGACAACCTATGAGCTATAACCAGGGTTGTACGGCCAAGTGAGATCTTCTCTATAGCTTGTTGAACTGCACCTTCTGATTGGGCATCTAAGGCACTGGTGGCCTCATCCAAGAGGAGGACTTTAGGGCTTTTTATCATGGCCCTAGCAATTGCAATCCTTTGCTTTTGGCCTCCTGAAAGTTGGGTTCCCCTTTCTCCCACCTATAAAGAATATGGTAAAAGGAAGGTGGGTTAGTCTGCTATATTTCACACATTTATATGAAGGAATAGCTATATTTCAGACATTTCTATGAAGGAAAATAGTTTGAAAGGGCTGCAGTCCTGTCAAAATAAGTAAAGCATCACCTCATAACTCATAAATTGTAATATAAACCTTTACATCGATCATCTTGGTTTGGACATTATGATTGCAAAAAAACTAAGATTTCAAGATCTAAAAATAGTGTATATTTTAACAAATTGTCTAGACCATCCATTTCGCTATAAAATAAGTGTTCAAAAATCCCCAGGATCTGTACATTTTTTGAGTTTCAAATTTTATTGTTGGTGTTGGAAATTGATTTTAGAGCCATTGTGGAGATTTTCGTTGCTGAAGATGCTTTTCGGACAAGGATTTGAGGTGAAACTTTATTTAGTTTTCATAAAAGCCTAGGCCTTATAGAGACTTCATCCTTATATAGGTTTCATAAAAGACTAGGCCTTATAGAGACTTCATCCTCATCCTTATATGAATTCAAGGCTTAGCTCATTGTGTGGGGGAGGGGGGCGGGGGGGAAAGACTAGGCCTTATAGAGAGTTCATCCTCATCCTTATATGAATTCAAGGCTTAGCTCATTGTGTGGGGGGAGGGGGGGGGGGGCGGGGAGAGAGAGAGACTTAATTCATCAAGAGGGTACAATGACTTGAGAGACAGATGGTGGGTGGGGGGGGGGGGGATAGAGAGAGAGAGACTTAATTCATCAAGAGGGTACAATGACATGAGAGACAGATGGTGGCAGTGTTGTTTGATTCGCTTTAAAATCTTCTTCAGTTGAGTCGGAAAAATGAAAAAAAAAGAAAGAAATCGGTGCTTCGGTCTATTCGAAAAAAGACTTCAGAATTTTTAAAAAGATTTAATATAAATAAGTATATATTATTTATAAAACATATTAAAATAATAAAAATTTGTTAGAATAAAAAATAATAATAATAGAAGACAATTCTATGCTTTGGCCGAAGAGGCTGAATCACACCAAAGTGGGCAGCCCAACGCAAGACAAAGCGGATGTGCCGGAGCTTCAATTTGTTTCGTTCTAAGCTGAAAATCAGAAGACCGGCCTCTTCAGCGGAAGCCAACCGAATCCGATAACTAGATGGTGGTAAAGAGTACCTGAGTATCATAACCATGGGGGAGTTGAGTGATGAAAGTGTGTGCATTAGATCCAATGCAAGCGGTCACAGCCTCCTTTCTTGAGGCGCCTTCTTTCCCCAATAATATGTTTTCCATAATGGTGGTGGCAAACAAGACAGGCTCCTGCCCCACCATTCCTATCTGGTTCCTTAACCACTTCAACTGAAGTCTCCTCAAGTCTTCTCCATCCAAGAGAATTTCTCCTAGAGAAATATACACAATGTCATCATATACTGTAAGTTGTCTAAAAGAAAAGGAAAATAAGTTTCCAGAGAATTAGACAAGCAGAGGTCCAAGAAAATATTATCATCTTAAAAAATCAATGCTTAGAAAAAGAAAAGGAGTGAGAAAATTATGATCCTTGTGCATTCTCACTCCCCCCTCTTTCTCTTTTCCCTGTGTTTTTCATTAAGAGGGCATAAAAGTGTATACAATGAGACCAAAGATAAATGATGTCATTATATACAATCCCAAAGTAATAGGCCCCATTTAAAATTATGTGAGAGGCATAAAGTGTGAATAAAATTTTTGAAAAGTCAAAAAGAAATTTTGGCTTTATTTTAGAAAAAAGTATCAAAATACTCATAAGAGGTAATCTATAGGATTGTCTACAAAGAGACTATTTTTCTTTTGTATATGGAGGTCACAATTATTTTTGTTCCTTAAATTTCAAAACGGATGGTTATAAGAGTGTCATTGAATAGATACAAAGTTTAAAAAAAAATTATCTTGGACTTCGTGACTTATCCCAAGCCATCCAATTGACATCTAATGAATTGGGAATGATCGTGCTCCATGTACAAAAAATAAAGAAGATAAATGGTCTATTTATAGACAATCCTATAAACTATTCAATATTTTACCCGTTAAAAATACTCCAACCCACGATCATATGTCTTCTAATATTTCATGACCTATATTATATCTTGGAAGATATTACAAAACGCTTATAGGCGAAAATGAACAGTGATTTCGCCTACTCTCATTACCGTCCAAAGTTCATCGCTCGATCACATTTGTCCAGTAGTATTTCATGTTTTTTCTACAAATCAGAATGATATGAAATTTGAAGTGTTTGTTCATCACAAATAGGCGAATCTATGAAAAAATATCAAAGAAATATTTTACATGAAATAAATTAATTAAAATACCTCCGAAATGTTTAAGGGGTATTTTGATCATTTTTTCACGAATTATTTTTTATATATATTTATTAGGTGCGCCTCAATAAGATGTACACACGATCTAAATTTAGATCATTCCGATTTGTAGAAAAAAATGAAAAATGAAACACTACCGGACAATCGTGATGGTGGGATGAACTTTGGACGGTGATGAGGGTAGGTAAAATCACTATTCATTTTCACCTATAGGCGTTGGGAAGACATTTCTTTATACCTTAAACTAAATTAGAGTGTAAAAGCAAAATAATTTGTGTTTTCTTAATTTCTCAAATTAATTATCTCCATGAAAGAAGGGAAAAACAAAATCTCAAATTTTCAAACCCTCTTACCCTTGTTTGGATCATAGAACCTCTCTATGAGAGCAAAAAGGGTGGACTTTCCACTTCCACTAGCACCAACTATAGCAATAGTCTTAGACGCAGGGACCACCAAATTCAGAGAACGGAGAATTGGTATGTTTAATCTGGATGGATATGCAAAACTAACATTTCGAAATTCAATCTTTCCTCTTAATGTTGATAGAATCCTTCCTTGTGAGTCATAGGGATCAATCTCAGGCACTCTATCAATGATCCCAAAAACCCTTGCAGCTGCGACCGTTCCTTGTGCAAATTGTGCGAAATAAGAGAGCGATAAGGCCAATCCCCTACATCCATGATTATATAACACTCATATTAATAGAAATTTTTGTAGACAATAGAAAGACACCATTTATGCAAAATCTCATTCTTTGTTTAACAAGTCCCGGCATATGTTAGAGAAAGAGCCCACTATGAGAGACATAAAGCACACGTCTATGCCACTATAGTATATATGCCAGTAGGCATAGGTGTGTGAGAGAGAGATGCACAATGGCGTGTGAGAGAATGCCAAAAAATGATGCAAAAGAGAAAGGAAGTGCCATGTTTTAGACTATCGTAGGAAGAAAGGAATCGGGCTTGGGTCAAAGCCGTAGCAGCTGGTTTTTCGTAGCACTATGTCTCAAGTTCCATTTCTATATACTCGTGCCGTGCCGTAAAAAAAAAAGACTGTCATAGGAATAAGTTATGGAGTCATAAGAAGAAGTAATGGATTTGAGACGGTCATAGGAAGAAGTTATGGAGTCATAAGAAGAAGTTATGGATTTGAGACAGTTATAGGAAGAAGTTATGGATTTGGGTTGTAGGTGAGAGATTAAATTTGCGCATGTATATAGAGAAAGATGCAATTGTGGATTTGATGATCAAGCAAGGAGCTCAAGCTCTGAAATTGACAATTTTTTGAACTTTGAAGGGTCCAGGTTCAGTCAGGCTCTGGGTCTAGTTTAGGTCTAACCAGGTTGAAGTGGATTCGATCCTGTATGTTACATGATCTATTCATCTTCTTATTTCAATTTGGAACTGACTAGGTCTGGGCCACTCTAGACCTTGCCTAGTTAAGGTGAACCCAACCTAGACCCGACTTGTTTCCAAGCCTAGAAACAGCCAAGGAAGAGAAAAATAAAGAGTAATTTACGTACGGACAAAAAAAAAATACAAAATGGGTCAATTTTAGATAAATATTACACCGCAAGTCAGTCAACAAGCTTTTCTTATTTTTGTCAAAATTGCCCCTCGGGATAACTTTTGCGCACATTTTTTATTCAAAATTGGATCATTTTTTTTTTTTTTTTTATGTCGGTACATAGATTACTCAAAAATAAATAAGGAAATTAAATTACCTGCCACCCACATTAACCCCAAAGAAGCAAGCGATGGCAGCCCCACCATCAATTTCTCCTTTGGCAACCAAAATGGATCCATACCAAAAGGCCAAAGCCCAAGTAGCATAAGTGACCCAGTAAATAACCCCCATGCCCGCTCCCTTCGCAAATCCAATCTTCACTCCAAAAGGCACTGATTTGTCCAGTAACTCTGCGTACTTTGATGCCAAATGCTCCTCCGCAACAAAGGAGAACACTGTTCTCACAGACCTAATTGCTTGCTCTGCGATACTACCCGCTTTTCGGTATGAAACCTTCAAATTTCAGACAAAACAATAGTTAATAGGTACACTCATGGTTCCGTGACTCGGCTGAGTTACACGGACCAGCTCGTTTACAACTCAGGACACAAAAAAATAAAAAATAAATACGAATTGAAAATTTTGTAAGAAAATATATTAATTGTGTATAAATTTTTATGTAAATTAGATTTTTTAGAAATGATTAGCTAGTGGTTTTTGCCGTAATCTCAATATTTTATTTTATTTTTTATCTTTTTGAGTTTACCAGTTCCCAAGGCCAGTTCGATTTTTCGAATATTGATCCAACCTCATACTAGTGATATAATTTGTATTTGGTTGTAAATTTTGATCATATAAATTGACTGTGACAACTCAAAATGATGAAAAACTTTCTCTCTTCAAATGATTTAAAATATCTCTCACTTAAGCATAAGAAAAAGAAAAAGAAATGGTAAAAATTGGAAAGTGTTTTTTTTTGGTGTAAATACTTATTTTTCCATGTTTCCATCTTTTTTATGAAAATTGTTTAAAATACCTTTAGGCACGAATCGAATTTTTAAAATCTATTTTTTTTCACTACTTTTCAACTCCATTTGGAGGTGTTTTGTTTAATCAAGATTTAAATATATTTCTCATATTTTTTTGGATTTTTAATATCTTTTTATTTTTCTTAACACTTTTTTGACTAGTCGGGACCTACCCGGTTAGACGGGTTGAACCGGCGAGTTTACTAGATACTCGGACCTGGCCCTTGGCCGGTTTCCAAGTCAGTTTGATTTTTCGAACATTGCTCCAACCTCATACTAGTGATATAATTTGTATGTGGTTGTAAATTTTGATCTTATAAACTGACTGTTACAAATGAAAATCTCTCACTTCAAATGGTGTTAAACTATCTCTTCCCCTCTCTCACTTAAGCATAAGGAAAAAAAAAAATGTCAAAGACTGGAAATTTGTTTTTTTGGCTGTGAGTACTTATTTTTACATATTCCCATCTTTTTTTTATGAAAAATTTCTAAAATACCTTTAAGCACAAATGGATTTTTTAAAATCTATTTTTTGTATTACTTTTCAATTTCATTTGGAGGTGTTTTGTTTAATGAAGCTTTCAATATATTTATCATATTTTTTTGGATTTTTAATATTCTTTTTTTTTTTTTAACATTTTTTGGACCGGTCAAGACCTAACCGGTATGACAGTTTGAACTGACCAATTTACCAGTTACTCGAACCCGCCCTTGGCCGGTTTCCGAGGCCAGTTCGACTTTTCGAACATTGCTCTAACCTCATAGTAGTGATATAATTTGTTTGTAGTTGAAAATTTTGATCTTATAAACTAACTGTAACAACTCAAAAAAGATGGAAATCTCTCTCTCTCCAAAAAAATATTAAAATATCTCTTCCCCTCTCTCACTTAAGCATAAGAAAATGAAAAAGAAATGGCAAAGATTGAAAAGTTTTTTTTGGCTGTGAATACTTATTTTTACATGTTTTCATATTGTTTTCATATTTTTTATGAAAATTTTTTAAAATACCTTTAGGTACAAATCGATTTTTTTAAATTGATTTTTTTCACTATTTTTCAATTCCATTTGGAGATGCTTTGTTTAATCAAGCTTTAAATTTATTTCTCATATTTTTTTGGATTTTTAATAATTTTCTTAGTACTTTTGGGACCGGACGGGATCTATCCGGTTAGACCGGTTGAACTGGCCAGTTTACCAGTTATTCGGACTCGCCCCTTGGCCGGTTTCTAAGGCCAGTTCGATTTTTTGAACATTGCTCCAACCTCGTGATATAATTTGTATGTGGTTGTAAATTTTGATCTTATAAACTAACTGTGACAACTCAAAAAGATGAAAATATGTCTCTCCAAATGATGTTAAAATATCTCTTCCCTCTCACACTCAAAAAAAAAAAAATCAAAGATAAGATGGCAAAGATTGGAAAGTGTTTTTAGCTGTGAATATTATTTTTAGATGCTCCAATCTTTTTTTATGAAAAATTTCTAAAATACTTCTAAACACAAATGGATTTTTTAACTTTTACTTTTGTTCACTACTTTTCAACTTCATCTCGAGAAACTTGTTTAATGAAGCTTTAAATATATTTCTCATATTTTTTTAGATTTTTAATATTTTTTATTTTTCTTAACACTGACTCATACTAGATATATAATTCGTATGCGGTTGTAAATTTTGATCTTATAAACTGACCCTGACTACTCAAAAAAAGAAAATATCTCCCACTCCAAATGATGTTAAAATATCTCTTCCCCTCTCTCACTTAAGCCCAAGAAAAAGAAAAAAAAAATGGCAAAGATTGGAAAGGTGTTTTTTTGGATGTGAATATTTATTTTTACATGTTCCCATCTTTTTTATGAAAAATTTCTAAAATACCACACAAATCAATTTTTTAAAATGAATTTTTTTTTTCACTACTTTTCACCTTCATTAAGAAGTGTTTTATTTAATCAAGCTTTAAATATATTTCTCATATTTTTTTGGATTTTAAATATTTTTTTATTTTTCTTAACACTTTTTGAAGAAGTCGGGGACCTACAGGTTGAACCGACCAGTTTACCATTTACTTCGACCCAGCCCTTGGCCTGTTTCTAAGGCCAGTTCGATTTTTCGAATATTGCTCCCACCTCGTACTAGTGATATAATTTGTATGTGGTTGTTAATTTTGATCTTATAAACTATATGTAACAATTCATTCAAAAAAAAAAAAAGATGAAAATCTCTCTCTCCAAATGATGTTAAAATATCTCTTCCCCTCTCTAACTTAAAACATAAAAAAAGAAAAAGAAAATAATGAAAAGAAGGTGAGACCTCTTCCTTTGCTGTTAAGCCAACGTAGAGAGCCTTGTAGAGGATCCCACAGAGCATCATTAATGGAGTGACTGCGAGTACAACCAATGCGATCTTCCACGACCGATAAAACCCCACCCCATACCCCGTCAAGAACGTGAATACATGGTGCATGAAGTGAGCCATCTGCACAGTCTCTCACAAAACACATGTAAACCTCTTTTCTCCGGGAATATATAACTGAAGAAAAGGAAAAAGTAGTACTTGCCTCAACAACACACTTCTACAATAACATCCCCTCCCCTCATATACTACAAAAATTTTGAAATCGATGGTGCCAAAATTATCTCAAAAAAAAACTTTCATTTTTTATTTCCAAGTTTTTTTCTTTTTTTCAATTCCTACTAGTTGAGATTTTGATTCGCACAAATTTTGAATGAAAAATCTAAAAAATAGATTTAAGAAAGAAGACTTATTTAAATTGATGAGTTGGCCGACTCATAGAAACCGAGTCAAATAAAAAATACTCATTGTTTAAAAGATTTGTAAGTTTTCGATATCATCATCATCATTATAGTTTTTTTTCTAACTATTTGGGATCTACTACACAAATCCTGGTCCGTCACTCTGCTCTATCAAGGACAACATCCTAGCAAAAGCAGATAACTTAGATCCAAGATTCATAAAAAATTTTGATAAAACTTTATGTTGGTTGCTTACCTGACACAACCTACATTTTTTATGGAAAAGGCAATGAATGTACTGGGTAGGAGCATCAACTTATCCTCCAAATAAACTCAACTTAGCTTGAACGTCTAAAGGGAAGTATTTAAAAATCATTCAAAAAGTGCAGGCTTGGAATCGGACGAGTAGAATCAGAACCGAGAGGTGGATGATTCTGGACGGAAAATCCCTTAAATCGCCCGAGTCTCCCATTTTTCTAATATGTTCATTTTTTTATTTTTTCAATTTCAAGTAGGTGCTCTACTTGTCCTTCTGCATTCCTTGTGTGCTCATTAAGAAACTTGCGTCTTTTATCCAAAATACTAGGATACCCTAATCATGTATCTAAATATGTCACCGAACCTAATAAGCCGACTGGGAGGACCTTGTCGAGTCAGTGCCCGATTCCGATTTCTTAATGTTAGGGCATTAAAACATGATATATAACTGTAAAAAGAAAGCTATAATTGTAAATGGTGGCACTTTCCAACCTTTCGATGGATGGTGATCAGAGAGAACAGATCCAAGGAGCATGACTTGACCCGAGTGACATGTCTCATTCAATATACTTCACCGATGATGGAAACAGGGAGCATACTATACACATATCCATTGGTTAAAAGATTTGCGTGGATTGGTTTTTTCTGTGTGAAATTTTGCAAGCCGGATTGAAATCATGAGATAATATATCCAAAGAAATAACAAATTAAATTTATAGTTCTTCATTATATTGATTCGTACATCTAAAAAATGGACAATTACTGTTCAATATTAAGATTTTAGTTTTCACAGGCACTTATATCTAGAAAATAAAATATCAAAGTATTTTTAACGTACCCCTCTATTTTTTTTCCAAATTTTCCCCTGATTTGATGTTTCAAATATCAAACTATTTTCTTTCAATAGTACTATTACTCTTTGACTTTGTAAAGCAATCCAATGTCTAAAATATTGAACCACCCCATAATAAAAACATCGGACCGTCTAGACTCAAGTTTTGTTAATGTTTTAGTAGTTCAATGTTTTGTAACATTGGACCGCTTTTGAAGTATAAAAAAACTTTAATACAATATGTTATTTGTAACGTTAGATTGCTTTTGAAGTATAAATAGATTTTAAAGGTATAGTGTAGTCCAATGTTTCCATTATTGAACCGCCGAACAAATAGGGTGGTTCTATGACAACAGGCTACCATACAAAGGTCAAAAAAAATTTAGAAGAAAACAAAGTTATGATGACCAAGGGTGGAAGCTTGAAATATATATATATATATATATATAGAGGAAAATATGGGATTAGCCTACTAACTCATATGAACATATGAACTCAACGTTCTTATTGAATCTGGGCCGGTCTGACGATCACAGATATTCGGTAGTGTTTGAATTTTAGTTTTATTTTTATAAATCCAAACCACATGAAATTTTTTGTGTATTTTTATTAAAAAATAGATGAATCTTTAAAAAATATCAAAAAAATATTTTACATGAAATAAATTGACCAAAATACCCCCAAAAACTTTCGAGGGTGTTTTGGTTATCTTATTTTTCACGAATATTTTTTTAATATTTTTATTAGGTGCGCCTTGATGAGAATAACACGCATCTAAAATTTCAAATGATTTGGATTTGTAGAAAATAAAATAAAATTCAAAAACTAACGGACATCTGTGATCATCAGATTGACCCATATCCAATCTGGGTCGTTGGGCTCAAATGTTCATATGAGTTAGTGGGCTAATCCCATATATATATATAAGCAATGATTTTATGCAACAGTTGTATCATAAATATAATGCAACCACATTTAAAAACCACATTAGAGATATTTGTTTCACTCAATTTTTTAGATATATATTCTTTTCATTCTAAAGAATAATCACAAAAAATAAAATTTAGAAAAAACTCCCTAAAAGGTGTTTTTTTAACTCAATTAATATGTGCCGTCCATTTTAGTGAGAAGATTAGATATAGACCTCAAAAGAATTTTTTTATTCTCAAAATTTTTAAATAGTATTATCATTATTAGATTAACAATACTAAAACAGAAAAAAGTGATTTTGAATTTGTCAAGGCCTAGATCTTGAAATTCACCGAGTGGACAGTTGAGATTCACTGTTGGAGTGTACTAATTTTTATCATATCAACGGTGCAAATTGATTTTTTTTTTCCCATAAGATTGATTATGAGGATGAAGAGAATGTGTGTGCAAATTTTGGAGTCATACAAATTCCAAAAACATAGTTTTCTAGAAGTGTAGTTG